ACTGTACTCCCTTGGATTTCATTTAGGCCTATATAATTTGCACACATTAATGGCATGTTTTTATTATACCCAACGGAAATGTGTTGTAAAATAAATAGCCTAGACATAAAGAATAGAATTCCAGAGACAGTAGACATTACCATTATGTACAATGAGAAGTAAAGAAAAATATCAATTATTACATTTGGAGATAACAAACTCAGAATATCAATGAAAGTGTTCCTCCTACCTCTACTCACTGAAATAAAGATTTATGAAAAACAAATTTTTACATGTATTCAACCTAATGTCATTAATCGGAACGGAAATCGACAAGCTTTTTGTAGAGAAAAAAACCAAGCCCGGCCCTATAGGTCAGATCCCTATTTATATAGAAGTGAACCTTTAGTCTGATGCCAAAAAATGTAGTTCCTTTGAAAGCATTTGATTGTCCAAAACGAAATTTTAATACAAAATTGCAGAAAATAATGTCATAAAGAATACTTATTGAAGAACTTTGAATGGATTCTAAAAATACTAAAGTACTTTTCCACTGATATTATACAGTGGTGATAACTGAAACGTAACATAACTTTTCTGTTTACCATGTCTCACGTGCTAGTCGCTTCCTAGCTACCTTTCCTTGAATAGTTTACATTAACCATTTATAGACTCGCTGTAGTCTCACTAAATCTCGCCAGAGCTACTGCGAACTCCTCGGACCAAGAGGGGCCAAATGAGGGTCGATAAAAGATTTTTCTCATTTTACCAAAACCTTGTTCCAAAAATGCCCCCTAACATTTTATGAAGTAGCCAAATCATCTTTAACAAGGTGAATGGGGATGCCCAGCAGATGTGCAATTCTTTTTCTTAAATTTTCATTTTCACCCTGTGGGTCAAATGGGGTTAAAAAACATTTTTTATTTTTACAAAAACTTGGTTCCTAGAACTACTCATACATTTTACTCAGTAACTTTCTTATCTTTTGCGAAATGATCGGGGGTGTTTTATATACGTAGATATGCAATAACGTTCGAGAATTTTCATTTTTACCTGTTGGGTGTCGTAAAATGACTTTTTTCAATTTACAAAAAAATGTTTCCCAGAACACCCATACACTTTACTCAGTAGCCATTTCATCTTTATCAAAATGTTCGAGGTGTTCTGCAGATGTGGAAAAAGGTTTCGGAATTTTCATTTTCACCCTTTGGGCCAAATAGGTAGGGTTCGAAAAAAGTGACGTTTTTAGGTTCCATTATGTGTCTTTTTTTCTTCTTTTTTATACTCGTACATTTTAAAGACAGTTCTGGTATATTGTGATTATCCTGGTCTGTCCGTTCGTCTGTCACACTTTCTTCTTCCTGTAATTCCTCTTATAATTTAAGCAGCAACCAAGTAATCTTTTGGAATATGATAGATGGTGTCCTGTAGATATACAATAAGATTTCAGAGTTTTCATTATCATCCTGGGGGTCAAATGGGATCGTAAAACGACACTTTTTCAAAAACTTCGTTCCCATAACTTGTCTTACATTTTACACAGTAGCCGGCTCATCTGGGAATTTTCATTTTCATTCTTGATGCAAAACAGTGGATCAAAATGCGACATTTATCATTTTACAAAAACCTGGCTCCGGGATCATGAAACTGTCTTAAATTTAAGTCAGACTTTTGACTTAAATTTAAGATTTAGACTTAGCTAAGATCGCTTACTTAAGTGGATCACAAAACGATCTTAGCAAAAACTTAGTTAAGATTTGTCTTAGTTAAAAAACCCTTTATTGTCATAGTAACTCACGCGGTGTTTAGAGCGTATACGGTAAATGTGGAACTCTCCAATGTTTTGGAGATACAATTAAAAATGTATGGGTGGTGGGGTAAAAATAAAAGTGCCTTCCAACCCCCCCCCCCCTACAATTTTTCCTGGAATAGCCCATAGTCAGAAAATAGCTCTTCAGATAAGATAAGATAATATTTATTTAAAGTTGGGTAAATTATTTATGCACAAATAATTCAAAAATTTAGAAATGTGGATTTCTTGGATGACAACCATGCCTTGCATGAATTTGATTTGACTAGTGAGACCACTCAGCTTGAGCATTTGTTACCACAAACACAGCCTCTGCCCTCCACATCTACCACTTCATCAACAGAGCTTCATTTGAAAGTTACACCAGAAATGCTTCTTCAAGAAGAACTAATCAACATCAAAGAAAGAAGAAAGCTTATAAAAGAACAACAACAGCTTGTCCATCTTCAGAAACAGCATGTAATGTTAAAAATTAAACAGAAAGATCCCTTTTTCAATTTCGAACACCTTATGAATGAAATGTAAATTTTTTTGAATACGTACTAACAAATACACTGGTTTTTGCATGTGCGATGTGCCTGACATCACAACAGATGTATCAACATCCATGTATTACAAAGCTGCAATGCATGCCTTTAGCTATTTGTATTACTGTAATGGGAGCAGTAATGCTTGGGTGTTGATACATTTGTTGTGACGTATAACATCATAGTTAATTCTTATGAGCTTTTCTGATCACAATTTGTCTGGCGTCAGTCTGTCTATATCTGTCTGTAAACTTTTAACTTTTATTTTGCCTTCTTCTTTCCTGTCCTCTGGCTGATAATTAAGTGTCTCTGTGGTCAAATTAAATTTATTAAGTATGTAAAATGTATTCTTTACACATTGATAACATCCATCCAATTATTCTCATACTGTATGTGTATTTCCAAACATTATGACATCATTATGATATTTTGTATCTACGTACATGCTATAATTGGTTTCTCATAAGTATGTGCATTTGCTATAATAATTCACTGAATGTTTTATTCTTCTTTGTAGAATTTAGGATCTATGACTTTGCATTATTAAATTTGTTTAACACATTAATAGCAATCAATATATTGATAAAATTTTTGACAAGTGGCATTGTATTACTGTACTACTGTTATAACAATTAACTGCAGTATAATCACTAGTACTGGTAAAAAAGGGTTTTCTTGTGGATATGTATAAAAGAGTATCTTCTGCATCAATAATGATCATGTCATTATTCTAGTTGTAGTTTTTGTTACAAAATTTATCAATACCTAATGTATTTTAACTCTACACTGCTTGCACGCTGTATCAATTTCATAATTCAGTGTGATTGTAAGAATAAAAGTATACCATAGAATCAGACCTCATTAGTATGCAGTTTATAGAGGTTCCTAATTTATGAATGATAATGACTGTATACTTGCATACATTTAAACTTTTCATGGCATTTTTCAAATATTTATGCCTTACCACCTGCAGTAAAAATTTCTAAAAAGTTAAAAGTAGAGAACTGCATGTATCTTTAGTTCTTTACCATTCATCTTTATTATATGCATTTCTTCTCTCTCTGATGTTGCAATACTATAAATACTATATTTGTACTTTTTTGGATTTACAGACAAATTGTATACATACTAAATCCATCATTTACTGCTTTGAAATATTGGTAATTCTTGTTGTTGATTCAGTCCACTCTTTTTGTTCAAATTACATTTTAGTATCTATGATGTATATGTTTTTGTTTTTCTTGACAATTTTCTTTAAAATTTGCTTCTATCAAATGGAAAGAAAAACTGAGTCTTATACAATAAGCCATATGTTATATCAATTCAGCTTTTGATTCAAGTATCAAAGTTTAAAAAAAGCAATAAGACATATTCAGTGTTTTCTAAAATCCTTCATTGAGCATTGATATCACTGACAATCAACTAACATGATATATGTATAATAAAATTCACAATTTTCCAGTTTGTTTTTTTTAATTTAACAGATGTTGTACATGTTTATAAATACAGTATAATTAATTCCCATCATTTTCTGTTCTTTGAAATTGTTAAATCTTTAGTGGTATATTTTCTAAAAGTTGTTATTTTAAGAAAAAATATACAAGTTATTATCACTGAGTACAATTCCATATACTGTACATATGTCAGAAACAAATGGGAATATTGAATAAGCTTTAATTTGCTATTAATTGTTATATCATTTATCTTGTAATTTTTTTATTTGAACATCTTTCATATAATTATTATTGTTTTGTTTGGATGACAATTTAACTTTAAAAAATGCCCATACACATTGATAGTCAAAACAATATGACAATGGTGATGCTTTAGGTTATGTAAAAAACATAAGGTGCTTATCAATACATTGCAAAATATCCCATTTTAAAGTCAAGAGTTGTTTCCCTTTACGCAGTCATGCATAAGCATGCATGTGCTAAAAAAAAATTGCACTGAATTTAATTAGAATATTTCTCTTATTGAAATATAAAATAATTAAAGTACATTTAATGCATTTGAAATATAAAATAAAGTACAATGCATTGGTGCATGTTAATTGTAAATTGAACTTCATCATGCATCCATTTAGAAACTGTTTAACTAAATTGTTATGAAATAGACACAACAATGAAGGATAAACTTTACAAACTAATATGCTGCATATACACGAATAATCAAATTGATTTGGGCCAATTTTTTTTTTCATAATTCAGTTCAAAATGCAAGATTATTAATTAACTTCATGAAAATCAAATTTTTTTTACATTATTAAGTTACACATTTTTTCCCTCATGTGTCATTTGTTGGTAGTTGATATTTTACTGCATTGTTAATGTTGAAGGAAAGTTAAGCAATCATATTATTATCATTGCTTTCATTGCAATAAATTTGTTTTATTTTCATTATAAGTATCTTGTGTCTCATAGAATGACTCACAGAGTGTCACAAAAAAAAAGAAAAAGAAAAATACTACACTGCAAGACAATCCATATTGACACTTGCTGCTTTCAAGAAATATGAGATGAGATATAGAGAGGGAATAATTTTTATGCCCTATAATAAAATATTTAGGAGTATATAGAATATGTCTGACTGGCTGTGTCGCCAAAAATTTTAACTTCATAACTTATGAATGGAGGTGGTATGGTTTTCATATTTAAGATGAATATTCATTATAACAAGACCTTTCTTTCATTTATGACCTCATGACCTTGACCTTTAAGTGTGACCTATCTTTAATAAAAATAACCCACCTCGGCTATAACTTCTGAAGGCTGGTGATAGCTAGCTAGGGCTTTCATGATTCACACATGAATTATTTTTACAAGACCTTTCTTTGGGTATCAGCACTTTTGAATTCATGACCTTGACCTTTGAGTTTGACTTACTTTAACCTCAGCCTTAAGCTGCTTAAAGGGGGCTCCAGTCTTCATAAATCTTATATAATAGGAACCACAAATAAAGGGAAATTTCCTTATTATAACTACATGTAAATAACGGAATATAATATACTGGTAGAACTATTAAGGTAAATATATTTCATATACTGGTAGTTGTAATAATTGCTAAAACGAACACAGAATATTACTATTAATAATAATGATTTATCACACTGACAGATACATACTGAAATGTAATGGTATGTTTGTAACCTTACAACAATACCAATGATGTACTAGGTACAGAGAGTGATACAACAGTGCACTGTGTGATTTAACTGATATTGGGAGAAAACATTAAATAAACTGCAAGCAGTATAAATTTATAAATGACTTCTGCTTTGTGATTATGACTGTATATTATGTAAGAACTGAACAAGTTATAAATTATTATTCTTTCCTAGTTTCTCATGAATTAAGAAGAGAATGGCCTGAGATATTAATTAGTAATCAAAACATTGTCTGGCAATGAGTTCTCTGTATCCAAAACCATTGTTGTTACCGTGATTGATCTCATCCACATCTGGGCCGGCTATGATTAGGTCACGTGGGTCAAGGGACACAATATCTTGCCTCAGGATCCCTATGTTATGCAGGACAACACAGGTTATCACATACTGACAGGCTCTTTCTGGGCTTGTTCTAAGGCCAATGGAAAGGCAAGGGAATCTTCTCTTTAGTATGCCGTATGTCTGCTCGATAAGGACTCGTGTTCTACACAGTGCACTGTTGTATCGCTCTCTGTACCTGACATCATTGGTATTGTTGTAAGGCGTCATTAGATATGTCCGACAAGGGTACCCGGAGTCCCCCAAAAGTATACCATTATGCTGACCTGAAAAATCATGAAATTAATATATTAAAAAAAAAATAAATTCAGAATTACTAAAAGGTCTGGAAAGCAAAATGACGAAGATTTCAGTATGATTCAGCAGATGTTGAAAATATTTTAACTACATGTACATATACTAAAACTCAAATTGCGTTTATTGTCTGGCCTTTATGGGCCATATGACTTTATCATTTGAAAAAAAAATACCTTAAATCTACTTTATGTTAGTACATATAATTACTGATAAACATTACAGTTTTTAGCTCACCTGAGCCAAAGGCTCAAGTGAGCTTTTCTGATCAAAATTTGTCCGTTGTCTGTCGTTGGCGTTGGCGTCGTCGTTGTTGTAAACTTTTCACATTTTCATCTTCTTCTCCAGAACTACTGGGCCAATTTCAACCAAACTTGCCACAAAGTATCCTTGGGTAAAGGGGATTCAAGTTTGTTCAAATGAAGGGCCGCGCCTTCTTCCAAGGGGAGATAATTAAGAATTCGTGAAAAATTAATGGCATCATTAAAAAATCTTCTTCTCAAGAACCACTGCGCTTGAAAATATGAAACTTATGTGGAAGCATCCTCAGGTAGTGTAGATTCAAGTTTGTTCAAATCATGACCCCCGGGGGTTGGGTGGGGCCACAATGGGCGATCAAAGTTTTACATAGGAATATATAGGAAAAATCTTTAAAAATCTTCTTCTCAAGAACAGCAAAGCCATGATTGGTCATATTTACATGAAGGCATCTTCAGGTAGTGTAGATTCAAGTTTGTTCAAATCATGACCCCCGGGGATCGGGTGGGGCCACAATGGGCGATCAAAGTTTTACATAGGAATATATAGGAAAAATCCTTAAAAATCTTCTTCTCAAGAACAGCAAAGCCATGATTGGTCATATTTATATGGTAGCATCCTCAGATAATGTAGATTCAAGTTTGTTCAAATCATGACCCCCGGGGGTCGGGTGGGGCCACAATGGGCGATCAAAGTTTTACATAGGAATATATATGAATAATCTTTAAAAATCTTCTTCTCAAGAACAGCAAAACCATGATTGGTCATATTTATATGGTAGCATCCTCAGATAGTGTAGATTCAAGTTTGTTCAAATCATGACCCCCGGGGGTCGGGTGGGGCCACAATGGGCAATCAAAGTTTTACATAGGAATATATAGGAATAATCTTTAAAAATCTTCTTCTCAAGAACAGCAAAACCATGATTGGTCATATTTATATGGTAGCATCCTCAGATAGTGTAGATTCAAGTTTCTTCAAATCATGACCCCCGGGGGTCGGGTGGGGCCACAATGGGCGATCAAAGTTTTACATAGGAATATATAGGTTAAATCTTTAAAAATCTTCTTCTCAAGAACAGCAAAGCCATGATTGGTCATATTTAAATGGAAGCATCCTCAGATAATGTAGATTCAAATTTGTTCAATTTATGACACCCCCCCCCTCCCCCCGAACCACTTTTTTATTCAAACTTTTCAACCTTTCAAGACTGAACTGATTTCTGCTTTTTCCTAGCCATAGTGCTCAGGTGAGCGATGTGGCCCCTGGGCCTCTTGTTTTCCTGTTCCTTATTTAGTTTTGTTTTATTTGCCATATTTTTCTTATACTTATTACATATATATCTTCAGGGAGGTATAGGAATATCACAGTTAAGTAATAATATTCCATCAAAATTCAGTTAAAATTAACTGCATGTGATATTATTTACCATTCTCAAACTGCTGACAGAGAACACTTTCTCGGAAAACCCTTGAATCATGACAAGATCCTGGCCACTTGGCAACACAGTTGGTCACCATAAAATTAGCATCACAGGTCATCTGATATATGATCAAATTAAACATTAATTTATTGTTTGTAAATTTAATTTTCATAATACATGCATGTTATTTATCTTTAAAGTCAATGATTGTGATGGATTCACATATAAGCGGATTTATTGCCTACTTTATTTCTAAATTTAAATCATTGAAAGCTTATTTAGCTCTTTTAATGTTTTTTTTTTTAATTTAAAATCATTTTTAATCAAAAAACAATTACCATGACATTTAAAGAATGATATCCTTTTCTATTCACATAATCAGGCTCATTTTCAGTAGGAGTTTGGATGCGGATAAAAGTACCATCAACACATCCCAAGACACCAGGGAACCCTACAATAAATAGATTTCATAGATTAATATTTTCATCAGGCCAATAGCAGCAAATATCATAAGTTTTCAATTTGTTTGTGTGAGTAAATATATATACCTTTTGATGATATCTGATTCCCTTTTTATTTTTAAAATCATACAGAAGTTATAGTTATGAACATATCAAAATAGGATTAATTATTTACTGAACATGATAATAAAGTTATGAAGAGTAGAATAGTAAAGATTTCAAAGTACAATATGACTGATTTTGGAGTTACCCCCCACCCACCCCCCTTTTCTGTCACATATTGTATATATACATGTAATTTAGTAACACTACACACTCACTAAAACACACATATATATAATGATTACAATTGATAATGTTCGAGGGATCCTTATTTTTTTCTTAGATGTAAGAGATACATAAATGCATTTAAAACAGTGACTTGAGATATGGGTCGAAAAGGTAGAACCGAAATGCTTATAGAACGAAACGTGTTTACTGATTCAAGGGGGCGCTGTTGTTTGTTTTCAATGCGAAGGTCTCGAAAACATGTGTAAGTGAAAAGCCATGGATTCTTACCTGCGATAGCATGAAACATTCTCTTTACGTTGGTGGCATCCTGTCCAGAAGGAAAGCGAATAAAACGGCCAGCAACATTCGCTATTGCAGATGCCACCCTGCGGATGCATCGTCCTGCCGTGGCTTTGGAGATGTGGATGGCATCCCCCACAAGTTGATGGAAGGCCCCCGTAGCCACAAACCGGAGGAAAACCAGCAGCTGAATCATCGCTGGAAGGGCCAACGATCTCTTGGTAGGATGGGTTATTCTGTCCTGAATGGTGTCGTAAATAAACATTATCGTAGGGCGGCGAAAACGATATCTCTCGAACAACTCGTCATCTGTTCGGAGGTCCAGTGGATTCAACCGATCCCTGAAAAGCCTGGGGCGAGGGAGACGCCGTCTTCGCCGGACAGTATCAACATTTCCCCCTTGAACACGTCTCAAGAAACCAACAACAGCGGCCATTTTGAAAGAACTTAAGATCAATCTTAAAACTTAAGACTGCCCATGAGCAGTCTTAAAATTTAAGACAAAATTCCAGTCTTAACTCTAAGTCATTTTTTTGTGATCCACTTTAAGAACAATCTTAAATTTTAAGTGCAAATTTTTGGAGTTAAGTCTGACTTAAGACTTAAGGCAGTTTCATGATCCCGGAGCCTGGTTTCCAGAACTCTTATATTGTATGTAGTAGCCATTTCATCTTTTGCAAGAGTATTGGAGTGTCCTGCAGATTTGCAATAAAAGGCTTCAAAACGTTCTTTTTACCCTGGGGGTCGAAAAATGACGTTTTCTATTTACAAAATCTTAGTTTGCAGAACTCCTCATACATTTTACTCAGTACATGTAGTCATCTTATCTTTTGCAAGATGATTTGAAGGGTCCTGGAGATGTTCTGCAGCGTACTTTTAGGGATAAAAACTTACTTGAGGTATTAATGTTTCATGACACATCTAGTTACTGCAGTATACCCACACTTTCTAAAGAAAGTTTGGGTATATTGTTGTTATCCGAGTCCGTCCGTCTGTCACACTTTCTTCTTCCTTACATTTTAAGAGTAGCCAATTCGTCATTTGGCATATACTGTATAGGGGATTAATTTCACGGGTTGTAATTTTCACGTTTTTCTCTCCTCTGTCACGATCGCGGTTTGTTGAATTCGCGGAATTGTTACCTACCTTGTCTATATCAGTTTAATCCATAGCATAGCTAGAACGACATTAATCAGCGTTATATATTCACTTCACAAACAACAGGGTAGGCTTATATAAAATAGTTAGATTTAATAATTAATTGACGATTAATTAAAACAAGTGCAGTTATTAAAAGTCCTTGACTAGAAACGTCGAATGACTTTCCTATATGCTATTATGATAAGTGCATGTACACCCCAAGATCTTGTTTCCGAAGGGATAATACATCGCGGCGAAAAATCACTGGACGGTGAGAAATGTGTTAATATAGTTCGACAAAATAATTTCCTTCCACATCTTCAGCAAGTTCGATAGTTTTTTGAATGATTTTTTAAAACCAAAATGTTGATAAAAACTAATATGCCTGATAATGCAGGTAACAAATACACGTGGTAGCATAGTTATGCACGGATTATCAAAACCCATGACCCACATGTTTTTATTGATGAAACAAGTAGTGTTGGCTTTTAAAACAGCTTTTTAATAAATACAGGTTATTATCTGCTGATTTGAATTAAAGTCAAGCATGATAATTAAAATAATTGAATGACAAGTACGACTCGTAATTACTGATATGAACATGTACTACACGTATATATACCTATCGTAGTTTACTCTCAAATCTCCAAATATAACATGGAGGTTATTGCAAACTTATTCACTGTTTCTTGAATTCACGGATTTATCAACACCGTGAATACAGCGAATATTAACACCGCGAGTTATCTTCCCCCTATACAGTAATCAGTGATGCCTTGAGCATGTGCAAAAAGATTTTGAAATTTTCATTTTAACTCTGCAGACCAAATGGGGGTAAAAATGTTTTACTACAAAAACTTGTTTCCCTGAACTCCTCTTCATTTTTCGCAGTAGCCAATTCATCTTTTGGAATATGATTGGGAGTGTCCTGTAGATGTGCAATAAAGTTTTCTGAATTTCGATTTTTACCCTGAGGACGACTGGGAGTCAAGAAAACGACTTTTTACTGCAAAAACCTGGTTCCCTGGACTCTTCTTTTAATTTTTGCAGAAGCCAACTCTTCTTTTGGAATATGATTGGTGGTGTTTTGAAGGTTTTAAGCCTGGGATGATTTGGGGTAAAAAAAAAAAAAAATAAACGGATTTCTTTTTTCGTCAAAAAGCCTGTCTCCCTAAAGTTCTCTTGTATTTTTTGCAGAAGACCATTTATATTTTCGAATGTGTTTGGAGGTGTTCTCTAGATGTGCAATAAGATTTCAAATTTTCGATTTTCATCCTGGGGGCGACTGGGGGGCAAAAAAAAAGTTTTTTTCTACAAAAGCCTAGTTTCCTGAACTCCTACATTTTTTGCAATAACAAATTCATCTTGGAATCATTTTGGAATATGTTTGGTGGTGTCCTGTAGATGTGTAATAAGCTTTCAGAATTTCGGTTTTCACCCTGAAGGTGACTAGGGGTCAAAAATATCTTTTTTCTGCAAAGATCCTATTCACTGAACTCTTCTTACATTTTTTGCAGTAGCCCCATCACAATTTGGAATGAAATTGGTGGTGTTTTTGGATGAACAATAAGGTTTTATAATTTCCATTTTCCCCTTTGGGCAAGTGGGAGTTTAAGAGACATTTTGATACACAAAACTGGTTCCGTGAACGCCTCTTACATTTTTTAGAAGCCAACCCATCTTTAAGAATATAGGTGGTCTGATATACATGTACAACCAGAATATGAAATTTCGATTTTCACCCTGGAGGGGCGATTGGGAGTTGTGAATTGTCATAGAGCGTCGTTTTTTTTTCTAGAAAACCCTGGTTTCCTGAACTCCTCTCATATTTTCGCAGTAGCCCATTCATATTTTGGAATGTGATTGGGAGTGTCCTGTAGATGTGCAATAAGGTTTTTGAATTTCTATTAGCACACTGGGATATACGGCTGAAAACGATGTTTTTCTACAAAAACCTGGTTCCCTGAACTCATCTTACCTTTTTCAGTAACCAATTCATCTTTTGGAATATGATTGGGAGTGTCCTGTAGATTTGCAATAAAGTTTCAAAAGTTTTATTTTCACTGGGGGCAAAATGGGGGCCAAAATGAATTTTTTTAACAAAAACTTACTTACTGAACTCCTCTTACTTTTTTTACAGTAGCCCAATCAAATTTTGGAAGAAATCTGGGTGTGTCCTATACATGTGCATTTAGGTTTTGGAATTTCAATTTTCATCTTGGGGGTCAATGGGGGTTGAAAACCGCTTTTTTGTAAATTATAGAATTATTATGGCTTCTTCCCTTGTTACCAAAATATGAAAGTGGGTACATTTAGTGGCAAACACCTAAGTGCGGGTAATAATGTCTTATGACAGCATCTAGTTTACATTTACTGTTTTCTATTTTGCTTTATTTAATGAAGAAATTACTGTAGATTCCTAAATATACGCGAAGAATTAATTATCGCGTAATTTCGCGAGAAGCACCACTCGCGAAATAAAATTACTCGCTTTTATTTTTATGGTACTGAAATCAATGTAAAATCTCTTGATCAACCGTCCACTCGCGAATTATTGTTCTCGCGATTTGACGTTAAAGTGCCATTTTGCGATAATAAGTACTCGCGAAAAATAAGGAATCTACTTTTCTTCGCAAAAAAACCGTATTAGCTAATACTAGGTTAAGTCAATGTTTGAGTCTAATAACAATCAATATGCAGTTTCCTTATAGATGTCATCTGAAACATTCGATTTCTATTCCTGTTATTTTGGAAATATGCTCGGATAATCTTTCCAAAGTTACACCAATAGACAGCAATGAGAAAGGAACGAAACTCTTGATTATTATGGTAATACTATTATTGAATTAGTAGAGTTTAATTTTAAATCTTAAGATGAGTAGCATAAACAGTTCAAATTCAATCACCTGTTTGTTTTCGAGTTCAATTTTTGGGAAAATGACATTGTTTCCTTTGGAGATGAATTTTCTGGACGATGCACTTGTAAACTCAAGCTTGTAAAATGTTTAAAAACACGAAGAAATGTGGAATGATGACAAATTGCAGAGTATAATATGATAGACAGTACATTTTCCTTTGCAGATTTCCAAATTGCTAATTTGTAATTATAACGTTTTCATAATTAATTGCTAACAAAAAATAAAATAAATCAAAAGTCTATCGTAACTTAACGTCTTTCCTGTTTACAGATAAAAATAAGAAATAATGTCATTCAAAGAACAAGGTACGGTTTCAATACAAATCTTGCCCTGTGTTTTTCTTAAAATGAAAGTGATGAAAAAATTAAAACTCATACTTTTTGAATCATTGAAATTACATGCAGAAAGATCAAACAAATCATTTTACTCTCATTACCTTCTAAATACTAAATGTGACGTTATTAACTTGTGCATTTTCCAGTATTTTCTTATTTTCTTAAAGAGTTGCAGAACACACCAATTTTCAATGAAATTTTCTTTCAGATAATGTTGCCCACAGGCATCGTCCACAAAGATTTTGGGAGATGTTATTTTAAAGAATTTTATACAACATATCCGAAAATAAAGTGGGTGATGGCTGTGGACACTTTTTTCTTAAGGAAAATAACCCTTGAAATGGGTAATTTTGAGGCTTTTTCTATTTAGAATAGAGAAATGCATCAAATTAATGACGTCATATTTCCAGAATGGTACTCCTTCACGCTATAGTCTTTCCTGATTTATCACAGTCATATATTGTATCATATACTCAGCTAATATCTAAGCCAGTTTAAAAACTTTTTGAAAGCATTAAATTTTTAGGGCACAATAAAGCTAAAACGTACCTACTTCTGTATAACATTTCTGTATCTCATGTTTAAGCAAATGCGATAAAAATCTTTTGTCTCAAACACCTTATTTCACTGCCATTTGAATATAGATACAAGTTAAGCTTCATTTAGTTAAGAGTGATTTAACAACCATTGCAAAGTCCCAGAAACAACTAAAAAACATGGAGAATGAAAGTCCATTGATTAACATATTCTATCTTTTGTTCAAATTATTATTTTCACTTTTAGGATTCCGGGATTTTCCTACATTGAACAAGATTCTCAAATACCAGTATAAAATTTTCCGACTCTTTTGACCTTTATGTCAGGTTTTGTATGCACAATTTAAACATTTGAATAAAATGGACTGAAAAGGTAATTATTAGCTGCAGAACTGTAGCTCTCCGAAAAAAAATTGACAGACCGGAGAGCTACAGTGCCACCCATAGAAAAAAACTGTGTATTTATTGCGCACAAACGGTTGCGCTCGGTTCTGGTTTTATTTCTCCAAATTCTTACCTCAGCTGCACAAAAGCTCCATTTCAAAAAAATCCTTAGACCTTTATCAACTACTTGTAGTTGACATCTTTACGAAGCGCGTTTGGCCGAATTGTCTAGCCACCCAAAATGGCAGTATTAACAGGAGAAATTTTGGATGGTCTTAATTTCAGGCCCAGGAGGGCTAAAACAACGGTTATAAGGAAACGTTTAGATGTGGGAATAGTGCAAAAATGTGTTAGGAATACACGGTCTGTAATATTTTGAGATTGCAGTTTAAAAATACGGAGAAATACATGTAAATCGAAAAACAGCGCACTTTTTTGTGCGCAATTAATATACAGTTTTTTTCTATGGGTGGCACTGTAGCTCTCCGGTCTGTCAAAAAATTTTTTTCGGAGAGCTACAGTTATGCAGCTAGGTAATTATATAAAAAATTCGCTTAAGATTGATAAATTTTAGAATATTGTTTGTGTATGGCAATTTTGATTATTAATAGGTAGCCCTTTTAACTGTAAAGGTTGTTACAAAAAAATCCATCTCCATATATACATTTCAACCAACCAAGTTCTAATACGAAGATAAAACGTTTTTATTCTTTTTGATTGAATGATGATTGTATTTTGTTTAACGTCCCATTCAAGAATTTTTCACTCATATAGAGACGTCTCTATATATGCCAGTGAAGGGCTTCAAATTTACACCTATACTCGGCACTCAGGACCATTGAGCAGTGACGGTTCTTTATCGTACCAACGCCTACCGTGACACGCAACCTCGATTTTTAAGGACTCATTCGAATGACCCGTGATCTTCACCACAAGTACCGGGCGCTTGGCGAAGGAACTACCTTTGTTTATGTCTTAAACCCCAGCCACATTTCCAAAAAAGATTGACCGCTTTTTAGGCAAAAATAGGATTCTTCGGGCGACAGTCGGCAGTTCATCGCCCGTTGTCTTGCCCGATTTTGACCTGAAAAACAAACTGAGGCCCAGCAAACGATGATCGGGCGACGGTTAAACGACTAATAAATATTTTTAATTTTAAAAGCATCAGTGTTCCTAGGAATTAATGTGACTACTCTGCGTTGCATGATATTAAGGTCGGTTGATCATGTTTTTTTAGCCGACGAAACGAAAAATCGACCATCGGCTTAAATGTGACCTATTCATTATGTTTGTCGCGGTGCGTCGAACGAGAATCAAATCCAGGCCTCCCGATCACGAAGCGAGCGCCCTACCACTAGACTACCGCAACTGTTTCATTCTTTTTGATATTCATGAAGGACGATAACTTTTCAAAAAAAATGATACCATATTCCCTTAAATTACCATTTTCTTTGATTAATTTTGGGGTTAAGGATAACCATGAACCCAGCAGACATGATGTCACAATTTTGATATAAAGCACTATAATGTAACTGCTCATTTTAATCAAGTAATAATCAAGTATTTGCTAAAGGACTATGAGTAAAGTGAGACTTTTAGGAGTGTAATTCATTTTCAATATGTGACCAATTTAACCCACCGGGGCCTTGAACCTAGATCCTGGAACAAAAGAACCAAATTTTGGTTAGAGGATTAGCTGTTCATTATAATTATGCAAACAGTTTTTCAATAGTTACCCAAGGTCATTGGTGAAGATGAAATTTGTAATGATATATCTTGACCAACATATCCCCTGACCAGAACCCTGCACCAAGGTACCATAAATTGTACAATTTTAATAGAAAACTAGCCGCCAATTATAAAAATTAAAAATATGCCATGTAGAGGTCCATGAGGAAAGAAAAATTGCAGTAGTATAGTGTATTTTTAGTGTATACAGTAATCAACTTAGTCCTAAACTGAACTTGAGCCCTGAACCCAGGGGCCATGATTTTTTTTAATCTTGCTGGAGGGCTAGATGTTCAATAAAATCATGAAAACTGATTAACTTCTGAATGACCAGGAATGTAGATAATTGTATTCTGATGGTTTCAGAAAAATTAAAACGTTAAGGAAAAATGCAGAACGACAGATAGTAACCGATAGAATTAGGTCACCTAAATAATCATCTAAAGTCTTCGTTTTAAAATTAAAAATCCACGTTTAACAAGAAGCACTCCTTTATTGTACCTAACCTAAGAGGTAACACTATAACAATCCTCCCTTATAAGATTTGACATGTGCATGGGGGAAATTACCATTTTCATGCCAAATAATTTAAGCCACAGTCATAGAAAACCAAACGTTTTTTTTTAAAAAAGTATTGATTTTGATGCACGGAATATGGAGATAACGAACAGTAGTCAAGCTCAAAAGTCCAATAAAGCAATACAAATCGGGAGCAGAACGAACACGGACCTCTAAAAACATCAGAGGTGGGATCGGGTGACTTGGAGGAGTAAGCATTCCCTGTCGTGTGCTCGTTGTCTTCATCGGGAAAACGGAAAAATCTGTAAACAATTCAGTGTGTAAATAATAGCCTAAAAATTATAATGAAAAAAGTCAGTCAGCATTCAACTTAATGATAGATTGTATTTGCTGAAAAGGTCATTGTATCGACCATGAAACTTTTAAAATTTGGATGTCAAACGAGACTGTTGATATCCTTGTTTCATCAACTTGTTTGTCAATAGCTTGCCTTGTTTTAGAAATTGTTCGTACGTATAGCATGCTCTTGCGTATCTAATCAACTGGGAGACATAAACTCCATAAGGGTATGTTGCTATATAAATTAGGAAAGTTGACGATAGAAAAGTTTAAGTCATCACGTTTATCATAAAGTTTTGTTCATAGGTTACATGTATATTACCATTAACTTCTTGCCTAGTAAAATATATAAATATGAAAGAGATGTATCAGACTCTGTGATATCTTTTATTCAAGTTCACTGGGATACTGTATAGGGGATTAATTTCACAGGTTGTAATTTTCACGTTTTTCTCTCCTTGGACACGATTGCGGTTTGATGAATTCGCGGAATTTGTATGAAATAAAAGTTATCTCCCTTTGTCAGAACGACAATGCGGGTGTTAAAACGTATTAGTGTCCGTCAGCGGGATGTATTCACTGCATAAAGTATACTCAGTTAAAATATAGTTGGTTAGATTTGTTAATTCAAGTGCCGTTCAACGGCTTTGACGATAAGCGTCAACGACTTCTCTGCATGCGATTACGATGAGTGGTGTACAACGCTACAGATTTTCCTTTACGAGGTAAAGGATAAGAAAGTGGTTTCATATGCTACCACCTTAACACGATGATAAATACAGTACGTCGACAAAATAATATCATCTTGTATCTACAGGAAGTCAAAAAATTACTTGAATAAATGAAACTTTAAAACCAGTATTACCAAATGTCGATAAAAGCTAGAACACGTGCTCAGGTGACTGGTACCTGCACCGGTTATGTAAGTTACGCACGGGTAATCAAAACCCACGACTGTTACAACGCACTTTGAAAAATTACGCACTTTGAAAAAAAATTTCAATGTGCGTTAAATTTGAGATCAAGTTAACGCACTTCATAAAAAATATATTTCTTTTCAAAGAGCGTTAATATCGACCATATTAACGCACTTTGAAAAAATGAATGTGCACGGCTTGGTCAATATTCTTGCAAATTTTAGGTATGATAAATAAATATCTGAATCTGTTTGGATAACTTCAGGATCTGAGATGTAGACGTTTTTAAGATTTTTAGGGGTTTTGTTCTCAAAGGTTCTCGTAAATTCATAAAAGGGAAATGGGTCTTTTAGAAATAATGGAGGAATGATTGTTTAAAAGCAAAATTTTGTTTCCTTTATTAAAAAAATTATCCAGTCTGTAATAAGTTCGGTAGATGTAGGGTGGATAAGTGACTTAAAAAATCAGTTATTTTCCCCCTATACAGTATGTCGAATATACATAGAATTGGAAATAACTATTGTAAATTGATAATACGTCGTCTATATATCTAAATGAATATTGAAGGCCACAGCAAGTGTTTTCTTCTTCTCATGTAGAAGTTTTTGAATACCTTTTGCTTCATATAAATATAAATATATGTCTGCTAATAAATGGGGGCAATTAAAACCCATGAGAATTCCGACAGATTGTTGGAAGACTTGATCTCCAAAAACTACATAGATATTGTCAAAAACCAAAGCATCTTCTGAATACCAACTTCGGAGTATATGTGTGTATAATCAGAATGTTTTTAACAAAATATTTTGTAAATGACCAATGACAAGTAGGTAAATTTACGAGTTCCATTTTTATAAAAAAAAACAAAAAAAAACAGTGTCTTAGATGCATAAACTTCGATCTTGATTCTTTTCTTTGAAAAAATCCCAGCCAAATTATAGCATTGTACGCCATCAAGTACATGTATTAATTCAGCCGTTTGTTTCACATGGAGATAGTATGTTTTGCATTATAAGTCTTCTGTTGGTATTTGATCCTGATTCTTTTGTTTTTGTCTGTTTTGTTAAATCAATTGTTCACTGTGTAACATATTGTATACTCTCCTCTCCCCTCCCAGGTAGAAATGCTATTTGTGAATTAATTGGTGTTTTTATGTCTATTTTCCGTATCTTTTCATTTGTAATGCATTTACAATTACTTACAACGAATAACCTACACATCATTCTGTACCTTTTTTAGGGATTTAAAAAAATGTCAGAATTGTATATGCGAAGTTGTAGATTTAATGAAACAAAATACGACGTAAACATTTAAGATTTTTTTTCTTCAGCAATGTACATGTACATCACAACAGAGGACTAGATGAATCAAAACAAGGTATTATGACTAGTTTCCCATACTTAAATAAAATCTTCCCCAAATTATATTATTGGTCAAAATGAAACTTCCTTCTCAAATAAACTCAAATTATCAGGGTAAATGTGTCCCCTATCTGCTTAGATACTAGATTTACCAAACATTATGTTCAAGATGTTGGTGCTGTTTTTCACTTTGGTATTTCTTGTTTATGCTGAAGACGATAGAACACAACGTAAGTTTTTTTTATTGTACATCTTTCAAAATAAATGCTGATTAACTCTTTCCTTTGATCACATATTAGTTAGCTAAAATATTTACAGATTTGAAGTCACGATTAAATTCATTCAATCAGTACTGATAAAGAAGGCAAGTAAAATATAACTCTATACGGTGCTGAAAGAACAAAAAAGGACTTTAATTCACGTACACTTAAATCTTTATTCACTTCTGAAAGTTTCCTAGATAATATCAAAATGATTTTTTTTTTCTTTATTTCAAGTTAAATTACAAAAAGAGGAACATTTCTTGAAAGCTTTGATTGAGGATTTTTTCGATGAAGGGTGTAACTGCACGATCAGTTCTTGCTTATGTTGCAATACTGTAGGGGGTGAGACAAAATATTTAAGTTTTTAAATATTTCATTATTTTGAATCATAAATATAAGTCAAGACATTGGAATATGTCATTGTGCTCTATTTCACTGATATATGGGTATTACTTAATGTGGAATTGATTAAGACGAAGATATTCTTAAATATGAAAAAAGCATGAACTCTGTAAAAATCTTTTTTCAGTATGTGGTGATGTTCATTACATTGCTCAGTCACGCGAGTTTTCCATTGCACTCATGGCAGACAAAGTGGTCAAGTTAAAGATGGAATTATCAGGTAGGTTCAAATACTATGGAATCATTTTAGTTCCTCGCTACGTATAAAAAATCGGGGAGAGAATGGAAGATCTAATTTTAATTAGATTGTGGTTCAATATATTGAGTTTCGTTTCTTACTGTAAAGGGAGGTAACTAATTCTTAAAATTAATAGATGTCATTTAAGAATCTTCTCCTCTAGAACTACAAGACTAAGTATGAAACGAAAATGAGTGTGTAAAGGATAAAGAATAACTTGTACGCATGCCATATGTATCCATTTAATAGGAGGGGATCAGAATAGCTATCCAAAGACGTTCACTTTATCCATAAAATGGCCCTGTACATATACCAATTAAGTCCCATTCAAATGTCAATATAAAGAAGAGACTCATTGCTTTCATTTCCTAATATATACATTTGTGGTATCTCTCTATTATATAAACATACAGAGAGCAAATATCTTCATACCTGTAAGAAGTTTTTCGAAGATCATAGGTCAATACCTGTCCTAATCACACAGCGCAGTAATATCTACATTTATAAAAAGACTTACTCTACTTAGCAATATAGCATGTTTTTCATGTATAAAAATGTAAAAAAAAAAAATACGCAAGTAAATAATAATAATTTTATTTACAATGTAAACCAGTATTTAATACAGTTCTTGATCGATTTTACATAGAGAATAGAAAACTACGTGTTATAAGTTTCATATCTGAGCTGCATAGTCTCAACGTTTACCCTTATTTTTCTTGTAGACCTCTGAATGCTATAATTTTTTTTTCATTAAACTTTACTCAAAATAAATTTGAAAATTTGTTGGAAAATATCAATGTAATGCAATCACGCCACAAACAGCTGACAAACACTGCACTTCGGAAGTTCGGTAGGCACACCTCCATCATCGAGATCGTTGTCTTAACAATGTAAGCTGTCGCCAGTGTCTCCGTGTCAACATCATAATAAATACGCCTTACTGAAATCGTAGATTTTATGTTTCTGATCAAATTTTATACTTTGCTAACGCATAGCTCATGGCTTGGTCAATCGAGTGATTTTTATTGACTTTATTGATAAAATTGCGAACTCCTATGATTTCAAGTTAATTGGTCCGGACAAGTGTCTCCATCCATCCCTTTCCGACCGAAATTCCTCCATTTTTTTATTATCAAACATCGGACGTGTTTCTTTCGGCCTTCACAGGATTTGATCACGTGACCGACCCACTTCATTTCCCAGAGAAGTTTTTAAACTTGTTATTTATTTCTTAATAAAAAATTTTCCTCCGGAAGTCCAGGTATTGAAAAACAGACTTTGTGAAATTGCAATATTCTTTAATTTTTTTCAAAAATGACCAAAAATTAAAACTGTTTTTCAATATTTTGCATAGCCCCCAATCTCTGATTCAAAATATTTAATTATATAATGAAAAAAACTGATTCAAAAGATTATTATCCATGTTTCATTTTTTGGATCGAGGGGTGAGCTCATATTTTATTTCTTTGTTGAAGGTACTCAAATACACCCATTTTCTTCAAAATTTCAGGAATGAAGATAATGACGCAATTTATGACGTCATAATTCATGGACTAGCGAGAAAGTTACGTCATTTTTAATAAAAATGCCGTCACCAAGGTCCAATTAAGAAATATATAACAAGTTTAAAAACATTTCTGGGAAATGAGGTGGGTCGGTCACGTGATCAAATCCTGTGAAGGCCGAAGGCCTTCTCAGAAGATTTGATCACGTACCGACCCACTTCATTTCCCAGTGAAGTTTTTAAACTTGTTATTTATTACTTATATTTACATTTGAGACGGACAATCGAATATAATCGAATAAAAATATTGCACTAACTGTTCGTCGTAGATTTTGACAAATTACACAAGGTGTAAATCGGCTTGAAAAGCGGTTACACTTCAAATTCATCTGGCAACGGATTCTGTTTTGAAGGAAATATTCTGTGAAAGGCTACTTGTGATCAATTATAGTGAGCATATTGGTGAATGGGAATTTTTGTATTCATGAGAACCCATATTCGATGTTAAAAAACACAAGAAACACGTCCGATGTTTGATAATAAAAAGTTGGAGGAATTTCGGTCGGAAAGAGATGGATGGAGACTCTTGTCCGGACAGTTAACTTGAAATCAAGTATAAAATTTGATCAGAAAAACATAAAATCTACGATTCCAGTAAGGCGTATTTATTATGATGTTGACACGGAGACACTGGCGACAGCTTAGGACAACGATCTCGATGATGGAGGTGTGCCTACCGAACTTCCGAAGTGCAGTGTTTGTCAGCTGTTTGTGGCGTGATTGCATTACATTGATATTTTCCAACAGATTTTCAAATTTATTGTGAGTAAAGTTTAATGAAAAAAAATAAATATAGCATTCAGAGGTCTACAAGAAAAATAAGGGTAAACGTTGAGACTATGCAGCTCAGACACGAAACTTATAACACGTAGTTTTCTGTTCTCTATGTAAAATCGATCAAGAACTGTATTAATTACTCGTTTACATTGTAAATAAAATGATTATTATTTTATTTACGTATTGTGTACATTTTTATGCATGAAAAACATGCTATATTGCTTAGTAGAGTAAGTCTTTTTATGTAGGTATTACTGCGCTGTGTGATTAGGTCACGTAATGAACTATGACCTTCGAAAAACTTCATACAGGTATGAAGATATTTGCTCTCTGTATGTTTATATAAAAGAGAGATACCACAAATGTATATATATAAAATTTTAATGTATTTTCAACTTAAACTGAACAGTTTTGATTTCTTCAGAAATTCACAGGGCCAAAAAGGGTCCTAAGTGAACCTTGTTCTTTGAACACAATTAATATCTGCCAGACAAGATTCTATTTTCAAAAATACTAGTAAGCATTGTACAGCCCAGTTTATATTCAAGGCTGTTCAAATTGACGAGCCTGATATGCAATTTTAAAAATACATCCATGATCAGTGGCGGATCCAGGAATCTTGAGAAAGAAAATGGGGGGGGGGGGGCGACCAGTTTGAGGTCAGGGTAGGGGGTCAACGGCCACACCCAAAAAAATGATTTATTAAATCTTATGCATATTTTGGACACAAAAGGGGGCGGGCCCCCTGCCCCCCTCTAAATCCCCGCCCCCCTGCCCCCCTCTAAATCCGCCAGTGATGATCTTATATATAAGCATATTGCAGTGTGAATTAACAACAAAATAAACCAAATAGTAATTATTTTATTATTTCAGCTGATAATCCAGTGGCATGCAAAAACGTTTCCAGCCAAGGACGCAAGGGTGTAATTTGTATGGAAATCGTTAATCTCAAGATTGAGTCATCCGAAATCAGTGGCTGTTTGAATGTCCTCATCTCTGAGATGGAAGGGTTCAAGCTAAAGCTTGGATGTTTTAAGATGCCATATTCAGGCGGGAAGAAATTTCGGTTCCGAAAAATATTCAGAAAGCAAACTGACCAATATATTTTCTATAAAATAGTAAGAAAACTTGGTTATGAGATCTAAGGAGGAAATGTGTACGAATGTGTATTCTGAATTCTTAAGCGTTTCTACCAATAAAGCGATAAGAATTACGTCATTTTTCAGTGTTTGAAATAACCGTGCACCCGACCACCCGAAACGCACAAATTTTGCCACGGGCGAACCGATCTGCACGTATGGACACCCTGCTAGACGTGTTAAAATTTCCCATAAATTAAAATTCATATGTTTGATAAATCTCTCTCAAATCAACCAGTAGTATCGGTAGTAAAGTGTAAGAAGCAAACGGGTAGAATTTGTCATCCTATAGAAACGAGATCGAAGTTATGGTGATCTGGCCCAATTCATGTTATCACTAAAAACAAAGTTATAAAAGACAATTATTTTCTCTGGCTAGTAGATTTTTGGCAGGACTGACAACTTCCACTAGCAGTCAGCCCTGCATGTCTAGCTAATTCAGACACTGCATTTTGTCACTACAACCCCCCCAACATACCCCCCACCCCCCCACCCCCCACAAAAAAATATCACGTTCAAATGTCCGATCTATGAAGTTATATTCTATATAGACATCCTTTCAACAATTAAAAAAAAAAACAAATATGATAGACATGCAAAATTAGCAGTTATATCCGTTAATAATAATAATACATTCAGGATACATGGCCATGCCCTAACCCCCCCCCCCCCCCCCAATAATTTTGCCGATATATAGTATACTATATAAAACAAAGCCACTATATGCTTGTGCCCCGTCAATAAAAACGTCTGATGCCCCCTTTTTTTTGCTTGTCAAGGAATTTTGGTAGTTGATAGTGCTCCCAACTGAAAATGTATGGCTGCCCCCCCCCCCCCCGCCCCTCCAAACTGAAATTGCTACTTACGGGCCTGGGATCTATAATAAATTTATGCAATAACCGAGTCACGAAAAATCAATCGTTTTTAAATTAAATTTTTATCAAGGAGATTGAAAAAAAAAAATGAAAACTGCTATTGAATTTATTTTTTTTATACTATATATACAAGGACTAATATAATTGGCATTATTATTTATTCAATTCACTACTTTCTTTTTAAATGACAGCAGTAATTGGTTGAACTGTCCCACGTATTTAATGAGTGGGAGTGGGAATCCCGAAACCCCCTCCTCACAATAACCCCTGTCTTTTTTTTTTTTTTTTTTTTTTTTTTTTTTGGCTTCTTATTTTATATCAATGCTCTAATCTCCCTTTATGAATTTACACTACTACATGTATAAACATGCTTGCTAATCTTGGTTGCCCTCTCTCCCTTCACGGTGTAGTACCTAAACGGTTGCTATCAGAACAAAAAAGCGTTCATTGTTTATATTCGTAAATTTTACGGCTGCTAGCTGAAATAAATATGTTGAAGGAACTTGTAACAAGAAGTAAAATTGACAGAAAGTGACCCCAAATCGATTAAGCCTTAGAAAAATCCTTGTGCACGGAACAAGTAAGGGATTTCTTTAAATGATGCCAGATGTATTTTGTAGAACAACCTTCTAAAAAATTAAATATAGTAAAATTTCCGAAGCATGTACCCATTCGCAAGTCAATATACTCCAAGTTTCCATGCTTCTTTTCATCATTTATAGGTTAGTTTGAGTTCATTCTGGTATGTAAAGATGTGTCAATCTATAATAATTCGTAGATATTATATTTTTTTATAATAAAGTGTATTTTGAAAGAAATTTTTGGACGAAACACGATCTTCTTAAGTTACGGTTACTATCAGAATGTTGGTAATGTATGCACCGGCTGCTATTTGAAATATGATTTGTTTTTCAATCAAGAAAGAGAAAATTAAAAATCTTACGGATGCACAGGCCTAAAAAATATATTTAAAACCTCCAAAGAGCATATGGAACACAATGTCTACATGACCAATTGACATTTATCAACTTAACTCGAATTTGTTGCGTTCTGCCACGTAGAGCTGATCTTCGAAAAACATCAGTATACAAAATCAAAAAGAAAGCTATACGAAGGAAACGTTTAAATTAAATGAAAGAACTTTACCATCAGTACTTCAAAAGCTTTGGAAAGCTTTCGAAAACTCTTTTTTTTTTTTTTTTTAAATTTTTATAGCCTATATGTATACATAGACCTAAATAATATCTAGTAAATTTTCAGTATAACCTTTGACGGTAGTGCTTTCGAACGCTGTAGCAGAAAAAATACAATTAACACGCATTATTCAAACCATCGGATCTTGAATGGAGAGGATGTCCGATTCCCCCTTGTGGATGATTTTCTGGATTACTAAATTTATACAGATATAGAAGAGACAATCACCCCCCCCCCCACATCCCCACCCCCGGGGCTCGAAAGAAGGAGGTTTTTCAGATAGAGAAGTCTTCCACTTTTTTGCTTGCTAATGTTCTTAAATTTACTTATATTTCTCTCTCTGTCTCTTTTGAGTGGGCTTGGAACCCCCCCCCCTTTCCCCCTTGTAGATTCGAACATGAAAAAGACTAATATTCTATCCAGTAAGTAATATACATGTATATGTACATTTAAAGGTAAGAGCATTACAATTATTAACAGACATACCGGTATGTAGTCTTTTTTGGAAATAAAAGGGGGGAGGGTAATTGCTTCCAATTCAACCTTCGTTCTCATTTTCAATGCATGTACATATTTTTGGACATTGGGAATGTTTGACCATAGTGTATGAACTGGCCTTCAATTTCTGAATAGTGTTTGGAGCAGGTCCATTCTAAAGAAACTATTTACCACTGCTCATTGGATAAAAGTTTATATCCAACCAAAAAACCATGAGAGGTCCTTTATTTATGAATCTGGCGTAATTACCAAGGTGAAATCTAATAAATTTAATAGAAGGTCACATAAGTTAATGGCTAACAATTTTATTGTGTGCTGGATACTTAGTAAATGTACAGGGTATTTACAAACAACACAGTCTATTATATTTAGTCATTTCATATACGTATAGATATAGAAATAAAATTGTCATTAAAGGATCGAAAGCAAGCTAGCTAGATAATATAAACAAGTCAAGTATTAAAAAGAATATACACTGTAGAATGAACATTTCAAAATTAATATATTTTTCTAAAGTATTGTATAATAGATGTTAATTAAGCATTTAATTAAAGAAAATTTGAAAACTTAGGACATTTCCAATAGAAACCGGTGTTGTTGTCTAATAGTAGCCGTAACATAAATTTCTCCCCATAAAAAAACTTTTGTTCTTAAGAAACCGATTAAAATGGGTAATTCTATGAAATAATCAATACTTTTTACAAATATACACAGATCTGTCGACTCATTTTTATCAAATATTTGAACATTTCGACGCTAATTAGACATATTTCTTATGTGTATGTAAATGTGCTCGAGGCTTTCGACAGTTTTCGCCCTATACCTCAACAATCCTTTTATTCTTTAAAAGTTTAGAGATCTATATATGTTAGTTTTAAAAGGTATGTTACGTTCCGTATGGGTGAAATACTAAGCAACTGAACTTCAATAATTGAATAATTGACCATTTTGTTGAGCCAGCGAAGAAAAATACTTACCATTTCGTCCATTTTTTTTTCCAGTAGCAACCGCACAATTTTCGGATAGCAGTAATGTACGCACATTTTTTCCGATAGCAATCGTTTAGGTACTACACCGTGCCCTTGGGCCTGTTATATTTAAGCGGAGTAACTCAAAAGGAAAGAGATAGCAAGTAGCCTCCCTTTTTACATTTTTTTTCATGTGTTGGCTATGTCACAGCATGCATGCGATACTGAAATTACTTAAAACCATAAAGAGTTGTCACTGCCTTGGTAGTAAGTTATTCGTTTATACAATATAGGACATTTTTCTTATAGAGGCCTATCACAAAAATTACAGGCGATCTGTAAAATCAATCTATTGTTTATTTGATCTGTCAACTCGAATTTTCTAGGTTCAATACTTCGTAACATAATTTATGGTAAGAGGTCTCGGATCAGTAAAGGTTTTCACTAATAAATATTAATTAATCTTTTGTCTTAAAATGCCACTGGCGATTTCTGAAACGCATATTGGGTATGGGTTATAATTATAATACATGTATGTATAGTTATAATTACGGAAGCCCATTTAGGACCTATTAAAAAATATTTTTGAATTCGATATAACGAATTGTTGAATTTGTTATAACAAATTTAATTCGTTATAACACTTTATTTGAATTCGTTATAACGAATTTAATCTGTTATAACAAATTTGTTCGTTATAACAAATTTTACAATTCGTTATATCGAATTCAAAAATATTTTTTGATAGGTACTAAATGGGCTTCCGTATATAATAGACTCTATTGCGTAACATTAACCATTTGTATGCTGTCGATGCAGACTTCACGACATTAATGTTTTGTAAGGTGGCAAAAAATCATTATAAATACGTCTTGGTAGTTGACTCCGATGTAAATTGTTTAATATTCTAGGCTATACCGACACTGGCCACTCAGGAGAAAATAAAGATGTAGCCTAAATGTTTCTCGGGTGATCTCCCTTTGATTACATAGTGACCATGGTGACGAGGAGACGGGAGTTGGACAACAAATTCAAAGCATAAATAAATAGGCTGTCAGAGGAAAAGAGAACACATTATTATTTTTTTTTTAACATTTCAGCATAATGATGTGTTATAGATCAACTTCTTGAAGGAAAAGTCTTGGGTCAGGACTGAGGCACGTAGTACACAAAATGTCGACATTATTGCATCTACATGCAGTCATGCTTAGCGAGAGTTTTTCGTACTTTTTTTGCACCACAACACAAAATAACTGATAATAAATATAACATTCGCATTTTTTCGAAACTTTTTAATATTTACAAAAACAATATAGAATCTTTTTCTTTTCTATTAATGTAGGGTAATCCCCGCTATTTTCACAGTGTGAGTCAGTGCTAAGGTATTTGAATCGAACGAAAAGTATTAATTTCGATGTGGCCACACCCCTCGAACAAAATAAAAATATGCTTTATTTATTCATATTTTAATCCTCTTTTCAATGGTATAAATTTTATTTTGTTCGAAGGGTGTGCCCACAGC